GGGGGGGGGGGGGGGGCGGGGGGTCAAAGTCCAAATTTTTTAATGCTTGTAACTTTTGAACGGTACCAATTATTGCAATATTCATTTTTGCGTTGGATTTAGCGTTAGAAATACTGTAATTTCAAGTGTTTGAATTTGAAAAAAATAATGATTTTTGACCAAGTTATGATGATTTTTCGATGTAAATCCCCTTTTTCCAGCCTTTTTTTCGTAATTTTGACCCTGTGCTTTCGGGCATTGTTGTTAAGACCTCAAATCTATTATTTCCTAAAACTAGACACTCTAAGCTTTAAAATAAGCCCAAAATCATCCTGGGAAAATGATTTGTAACCGCGCTCCAGTCGTTCAAAGTTGGCGCGAGGCACCTCACGGGGCTTCTCGCACAGCAAGCGTCCCGCTGGCAGACTTTTTCAGCACCATAACTACGGACGAGGGTGGGGGGTGGGCGCATAAACGCGATACAGGTACTCATTGTAAAGTTATACATTGCATTTTCTGTACATAAGCCGATTTGCATCATATATGAAATGAAATCAATACCGCCAATAAAAGGAACTCACCCGAATTTCAGTCATTGTCGTGCCCTTCATTTTCTTCATGGTCTTGATCCTTATTATCAATTTCATCCTAGATGATATCCTGGAGCATTTCATCGTTTTTTTAGTAGAGAAAGAGACTCATTTTAGAATTCAGCTGGATATCTCAGACGGTATTCATGTCGCCCGTAAAGAATGTACCAAGTATAGCCAACATGAACGCAAGGGTTCACAGTACGCGCACTTGTCTTAAAAGTGCAAAAATATTATTTTAGGGTTTTAGTAGATTTTTCACTGAAATCCACAAATATGAAAATGAAAAAAAATGTTTTGGAGGTGTGTCGCGATATTAATTTTCCCTTTTTCAATGGTGAATTCCGCGCTGAAATTCTGTGCTCACGCAACTTGTGTAAATACTAGCAAAACTAGGAAGAATATTTCGCACCCTGTAAATTTCATCGAATTGCGCCGAAATTTTGCTCAGGACATTTTTTTTCGTCCTTCCAAAAATGGTGTAATCAAGTATTTACGACTGTCGTTTTTTGGATCACCGTACTGTACCACGAACGGTCTCAAGGGAATGCATGTGTTCTCGAACTAGCAATTATTTGGTTTTTTTTCTCGTGTTTCAGGATGTGCTCCATACGATTTGTCATCCACATGGTAAAGTCCACAGAATCGTTGTATTCAAGAAAAATGGCGTTCAAGCAATGGTCGAATATCCTTTAACAACTCAGTCTTTCACATATCATGCAACAGATGCTTAGCATCCTCTATGTCTCCACTCTTGTAAGCGCCTACCAGCCGGCTTTTCACAAAATATCCCACCATTTTCAATAATTGTATTTATATCCCTCATTTTCGACTTTATGTGGGACAATGTCTCTCTCTTCTCGNGGGGGGGGGGGGGGTTCTTGAACTTTTGAAGTGACGGATACCGCAGTTAGATAGCAACGACTGTTACTAGCCGCACGAAAGTATTTAATTTCATTCCATAGTGTAACTATTTTGTAGAAAAGTTTGTGTCAATGTTTCCTTAATTCCATTCTAACGTTTGACAGTATCGAATCAGCAAAAAGAGCGAAAGAAGCCCTGGATGGTGCTGACATATACTCCGGCTGCTGTACATTAAAAATTGAATTTGCGAAGGTAAGCTGCAATTTTTTCGGCGATACATTTACGGGTAGATTAAATTTGTGAGTAGAACATTGGTTGTCTACCTCATACGACTTTATTCAGGGAGAACGCGGAAGGCGAATTATTATGCTTATAAGCCGGGTGGATATAAAGGGCAGAGCATGACAGGAACAAATTTGACGTAATATTCAACAGTTTGAGCGGTGGGACGATCCATTTAAACACTACACTTAGAAACAAAGTGACAGCGAAAGGACTCGGATCTTTCCTTTTGCATCATGCATGTTGCCTTTCATCTTCATGCAACGTCTGCCATTTTGTTCATCCAAAGAGCTTAGTAAAATTCACGATGGATGAGCCAATCAGAAGTATTTCCTCCAGTGGCCTCACAGGTTCTTTCAGCCCACCAGCATCAGGCGTTTTTCTCGGTTATTTTAGGCTGGATTAAACCGGAGACTGCCGGGTCAAATAGGGCATCGGTTACCAAGGCAAACTTTTGCTTTCTGATTCTCTTCGTTGGTTTATTGGCATTGAATTTTGGGAGGGAGGGCCCTTGCGGGCCGTATTTCCCTCCTTTAAGGGGCAGTATTTCGAACAGTAGCCGATTTTGGATTCTTTAGTATCGATCTGTGATAGAATCTTCCAATTTTCTGAATTTGATTAAATGATTTCAAAATTTGGAGGGGAACTTTTTTTTTTTTTTTTTTTTAAAAAAAAAATGATGTAATACTAAATTCAATTTTTGTACTTGCGAATGTAAAATATTTTAAATGATGGAGAGTGATTTTCGTTGTGACTAGGCTACCCGGCTCTGGGCCTAGCACATGAAACAGAACGATGTTCTGGAAGAAATAACTACTAAATAAATCGTATGAACGATCAGAAGCACGGCAGGAAACACACACACACTACTAAAAAGGTTTTAAATAGGGTTGGGAGACACGTCCCCCACCCTTTCAAAGGCAATACTCACATCGTGGAAAAGTCCAGCCTTTTCGACCTCAGTCAAACTACAACTGACTCTCCAGCGGCTCAGGGCACGCCGTCTCTGATTGGTCGATCCATCATCATTCGGCACTGCAACCAATCAGAGATGCGCCGCCCAGAACCACTGGGGAAGTGGCGCTCTCTGGCGAAACTACTAGAAAGCCAGAGGGAAAGTATTATTTTCTCTCTGATATATTACCGTGCTACATCGTCTTCGTCACAAGATGATTCTGAGCAGATGAATTCCTCGAATGAAGCAGAATAAAAAAGAGAAGGAAAAGAAGACAATTAAAAGTACCCACTAACGTAGTACAAGGAAAAGTCATAAGGAAATTACTCGAAGTGGGCAAAATAATTGTTTATTAACCGACTGATTGGATTAGCCATCTTTGTGCATGATCTACTATCAGCAGTTGAATTTCAACGCAGAAGTAAATCATTACTTTGTGGTTTGTATTATTCTATTTTAGATACTTATCGAGTTATCTTAATTAGGGAGCATTGGGTGAGGAAACATAAATTGATAAGTAATTTGAAAAATGGGGTAATTTTTTCTCTCCGATAGTGTGTAAGCTAATTTGATTTTCCCCCACCTTTTCCACCGCCCTTCATACTTTCGTTTCGTCAATGTTTTCTTGTGAAGCAATCAACAGCTTACCTGATAATGTATGATCTTCTAAAACGTCCGTGATAGTCAAAGGGTCCACTGGCCCCTCGAATTACAGAAGTTTGTAATTGGCAGAAGCGAACGTTTTCCAGCCTAACTATTAGGGTACAGGAATTTTACACGATCCAATTTTTTGCATCTACCAATTCAAGCGTTTAAATGGTGCTTTTGTCTAAATGCTCCATAATTGACGGTCGGCAAGAAGGACGACAAGATCTACAAAATTTGTTGTTTTAGCCAAGTCAGCCATTTTGTCTTACAATAGTCCAATTTCGAAGGAAACGCAATTTCTAAAATTGCTTCGCTACCGCTCTTCTCGGTAAGTCGGTAACACAGTGGTGCAGGAAAGTCCAGTAAAACCTCACAAAGGAAAATGAATGAGTATCACAGGGAGAATCGTCTTGGTCACAAAAGAGAAGAATGACTTTGGAATTCACCATGACCACAATCATTACCACGGCAAAATTATCTCAAGATCTCTGTATCGTGTCACAACAAAAAATTATCACCATGACGAGAGAAATGATATTTGTTGAAATGACGACACTCTAATACGGGCTTTTCCATTATCACACAACTCTCGAGAGGAGTACAATTTTTCTTGATAGTGATCGATCTCTCACCGTGCTTGGCCGGCTCGGCAATCGCGGGGTAAGGGGTCTCACATTGTGAGCTTTTCATGCGTCAGAAGGAAATATGCACTTAGACCCTGAAGCTTCTCCTTTCGAATGCAACGAGACGTTAACACAATGGTTGCCGCAGAGAGGAGTGCAGACCAAAATAATCGTTAATTATAACGAAAAATGCGATTCCGCGGCGCGTTATGGTTACTTGAACATGCTCGCATCTTATGACCCCAACCGACGTTGCCGGTGCTCTAACTGCGGAATGGCTCACCGAATGAGCCAGTTCGGCTGAATTTTTTTATTACATATTATGAAAGTCCTTGGTGAAATGAGTATACAGAATTTTTCTCAGATTTTTTTGAGCCCTCTGGCTCTGAGAAATCTTACTTCAAAAACGCCAAAAATTGAAGGTCTCTGAAACGCTGTTTGAATCGCGCGGGCTGAGAGCTGACGTCACACTTTAGGTGGTGACCACCCTTGGTTTATTCCGAGTTAGTCCGAACAATATGGCTGCTGCCCGGTTTGTTTATTTAGCGGAAGTTTCTAGCTGTATATTGGGATTTAGTGGTAAAATTTGACGAGAAATTTGTTGAAACATTTGGTTTCGTCACAAATTAACTCTTTCTTGATGAAACAAGGCGTTAAAGTTCGCGAAATTTAGTCACCGGGCGACCGCGAGTGAGCATCGGCTATCGGAAACGACGGGCTCGTAAACAACCGAAGATTGATAACAGGAAGGATCCAAACAACTCGGAATCTTTTAATTTTCTCTACCTTTAAACCATTTCTGACTTCTACAAAGCATCTGACAATCAGTTTTATCGTATTTTACAACCTGGAGCTAGAGTCTATCGGCTCATTGTGATGTGTATTCAGAGCATTCTGAAACAGAAAGTCAGTTCTCACAAGTTCACACCCAGACATTCTTTTCTTGGATCATTCGCTTTTCATTTTCGCCTCAAATCAAGTGTTTTGTAGTTTCCTTATCTGAAGTATGCGGTTTTGAATTCATACAAGAGTTTGAAGTTCACCTTTTTTTAGCATTAAAGCCTGTTGAGCCCTCAAACTTTACCGATATGATTACCTACAGTTCAAGGTTCCTCTGGTCCGTACCAAGTGATTACACATCAAAGATGTGTCTTATGGTTCTTCAAATTAACAGTTCAGAAGTAAATTAGAGACTCCAGTAACTTAATCCACTCCTGTCCTTTCCTTCAGTGTTTGTTCGTGTCTGTTCTTTATGCGTTACCACTCTAGTGCATACACCGGTAATGTAGGTTAGTTAGGTATTATCGCATATTTTCTACTAGCAGTACCTTCTCTTAAGCGTTGTAATTTAGCAAAGAAATTCCACCAGTTGCAGAAAATTGTGTGCGTAATGAATAAGTGAATATGAATACCTCCTTTTGGTGACTCAAAGTTTCTCAGATCCGTCTCAAGGAAGTTTTGCATATAGGTGCATGATCAGTTTTGCCAGATGAAATTACTGCTCTTGCAGCTTCAAATTTATACTTTGATCTCTGATTCACTAATAAATGACACTTTATGGTGTCATTTATATTTAATCAGTTCAAAGCTAATTCGACAATGAATCATCAAAGGTCCGATGGAGGAAGGAATTTTCCGGTGAGTGCCACGGCTGAATCAACATTCCAACTAGACTTGCGAAGGTGTCAACCAGGAAATGATCATCTGTCTCGAAGTGAAATTTTTTTCATTGCATCATACAGTTTAACAGGTAAGATAATTATAATTACTGAGGTACTATCAGGTTAAATACACGAGTTTAGTGTAACATTTAGATTAAGTATGTTTAACTTTGTGGATAATGATTAATGAAAAAGCGAGGAAAAGTAGTGGCATGGCTAATCTGAGAAAGTACTTACCTACATTCACTAAGTTTTAGTCTGATTGCTTCTCTTGATGTCCCAATGGAAAAATTATTCGACAAAATTTCTGAAATGTGTGCGATATTTATATCTTTTACGTGCAGAATATTTTGTGAATATGTAGAGCAGTAAGTCGACTTGTTTTCCATTTAAAATCTAAACTTAAAGTAGAAGTTTTGAACACCGTAGTCAATACGTAATTGAGTCACTGGATGCAAAAAGGCCCTTTCTCGGTTGCAGTGTTTGAGAGTCACCTCTAATATTTCATTCTTTGAAAGGAAAGTGAATGCATCAAGTGAACAAGTTGACTCTCAATCAGAAATACCAAGAATAGTAGCCTATTTTTCATGTTGTACTCCTCTTCAAGTATATGACTGCAGATGAGCAGATTTAGAAATTTTTAATGCACACCGCACCTAAGAAATGAAAGAGCCTTAATATAATTACCACTTACCATATAGGTATCACTTCCTCATGAATCTGTTTGGGTTGATACCTTCGCAAGTCTAGTTGGAATGTTGATTCAGCCGTGGCACTCACCGGAAAATTCCTTCCTCCATCGGACCTTTGATGATTCATTGTCGAATTAGCTTTGAACTGATTAAATATAAATGACACCATAAAGTGTCATTTATTAGTGAATCAGAGATCAAAGTATAAATTTGAAGCTGCAAGAGCAGTAATTTCATCTGGCAAAACTGATCATGCACCTATATGCAAAACTTCCTTGAGACGGATCTGAGAAACTTTGAGTCACCAAAAGGAGGTATTCATATTCACTTATTCATTACGCACACAATTTTCTGCAACTGGTGGAATTTCTTTGCTAAATTACAACGCTTA